GCTTTTTAAGGATCAAATAGCCTCTTGTTATGATGCAAATGCTAAAAAACAAACACAAAGGCAAAAATGTTAGTAAAATAAATAAATAAATAAATAAATGACGAAAGGAAAAAAAAAGACATGGTTAAGGTAAAAATATCCTAAGTTTCGAAAATATGGTTTCAGGGTAGGCTCTAATTCTCCATGGTCTCCCAGTTTAGGTTCTAAAAACGGTACCCGAGTTCTCTTTACCGGTGCCCCATTGGGCTTGCCAGACCCTTAGTCCTAAACCCATCACAGGCTTGTGTGGACTAAGTTAAACTCGAGGGGACACATTCCCTTATGCCCACACGGTGAATAAATTCACACGAAGACATAAGGTATATGAATCCCGAAGGCTACTTGCTAGGCCCGCACGGTGAATAAATTCACACGAATGCGTCGCTTTCACCCCCACTTAAAGCAGGGTTTGGAGCTCGGGTTTAGAGCCTTAGATGAAAAATCTTTAAGGGCTGAAATCATTAAAAAACGGTCAGTACAACTATTTACTCGAAAATATAATCAAAAGTAAGTAATAAGGATCGAAATGTTACCTTAAAATTTAAACTTACCCTTTTCATTAAAAAGAAAGATAACTGAAAATTACTTTAGCCTGACTCACTTACCTGTCTCCCCAGTAGAGTCGCCAAGCTGTCGCAACCGTCTTTCGGTTGTGCCCCGGGATTGGGCTTCGACTTGAAAAATGTGGATTGGGAGTCGCCACCGATCATTTACTTTACTAAAAGTGGGTTGATCGGATACCTTATTTCTTACCTGATCTACGTCTTACCAAAGATGTGTCGGGTTCGGGAGTCGGTTACGGTCAAGGAAGGATTAGCACCCTTGAACTGTCCTTTCGGTACTACGTAATTTCCAGTTGTCTTTGATTAAGAAAATTGCAAGTTAAATTAAAAGGTAAAATTTGATCCAAATTACTTACCCTTAATGAGTTTACGGAAATACCCTTAAAAAATAAGATTTTAAAAGAAAATAATAATAAAGAAAGTAACAAAACTAAAGAGTAAACCAAGGAAATAAATGAAACCAATAATAATAAACATAAAATAATTGGATGAAAAAAAATGAAATTGAATAAAATAAAATAAATGAAGATAAAATATATATACAAAAAGAATAAAAAAAGGTAAAGTGTTTTTTTAAAAAGAAAATATAATAAGCAAAGAAACTAAAAATATAATGAAAATAATAAATAGTATAAATAAAAAAAAAATATATATAAAAATATAAAAATGTATGTATAATATAATAAAATACTAAATAGTAATAATAGAAATATAAAATAAATGAAGTAAAATATATATATAATGTTAGGAAAATATAGTAAAAAAACATAGTAAATAAGTAAACATAAATAAAAAATATATATATATATATATATATATATAATAATAGGAAAATATATAATATAACGCAAAGAAAAAGAAAAAAATTATAATAAATAATAAATAAAAATTAATATATATATATATACATATAAATAATAAGGGCTAAATTAAAATAAAAAATGAATTAGGGGTCAAAATTAAAAGTCAAACGAAGAAAAAAATGACAAAACACGCGGATCCACACGACCCGTTTATAAAAATCCGAATAGTTTTTCAAAAACACAAGCCTCAGGGACTAGATCTACAAAAATAGATCTCGAAAACGCCCCCGTTCATCGGCCAAAAACACTTCTCTCAGTTTTCTTTCGAATCAAAACATAACAAGGGTAAGGAAAAATAACATGCGAAGGTATGAACTTTACCTTTCAAAATATAAATGCTTCGAAAAATGGTTACGAGTTGCTTGTAATTTTTTGCTTGGTATTTTGTATATCCTCTTCCGAATTTGTTACAATAGTGAGTTACAATGACTATTTATAATACTTGTGGATCCTATCTTTAGGAGTTTAAATAATAGTAGAACTCTATCCTATTTTTAGGAGTTTGAATCCTAGCAAAATTATATCCTATTTTTAGGAGTTTGAATCCTAGTAGGACGAAAAGGTGTGTTGACAATATAGATATATGAGCTTCCCTACTAGTCGTTGTTATCTCCCCCTATCCACTTATTCCCTATCCTCATCAGTGCTTAATTTCTGATTGAACTTCATTGGGGTCTTGGCAAGCTTGCAACCCAACATACCAATTCTGGTCAGTAAATCAAGGATATATTTTCGTTGGGAAATTGACATACTTGTTTGGGTCCTTACTATTTCCATTCTAAGGAAGTATTTGAGGTTCTCCAAGTCCTTAAGCTCGAATTCTATGCTAAGAAACTTATTTAGTTGGTTGATTTCACTTGGACCATTCCTTGTAAGTACGATATCATCAACATAAACGATAAGTATTGCACATTTATCAGTTTTTGAGTGCTTGTAAAACACAGTACGATATGCTTGCCCCTAAGTGTATCCACGCCTGGTTATGGCTTTGGAAAATCGATTAAACCATATCCTTAGGGATTGCTTCAACCTGTATAACGACTTACTCAGTTTGTATACTCAACCTTTTTCCTCTTCAAACCCAGGTGAAAAATCCATATAAACTCCTCATTCCACTTGCCATTAAGGAAGGCATTCTTCATGTCTAATTGGACTAATGGTCAATATAAGTTGATCGTAAGAGAGAGAAGTACTCGTATCGTATTAAGCTTTGCAACAGTGCCAATGTCTCGTCGTAATCGTACCATAGGTTTGTGTAAAACTTTTGGCTACAAGTCGTGCCTTGTGTAGATCTATGCTACCGTCGGGTTTGAACTTTGTGGTAAAGATCCACTTGAAGCCCACAGTTCGTTTCCTTTCGGACATATTAGAAACTTTACATGCTCTATTGTTTTTTAGTGTCTTGATTTCCTCTAGGACAACTTGATTCCATTTTGGTGACTAGAGTTTTTTTTCATGTTTCTTGGAGTATATACGTGATCAATGTTAGTCATAAATGTTTTATAAGACTTAGATAAGTTCCCATAAGAGACAAACCAAGAAATAGGGTATTGGGTACATGTTCGTGTGCCCTTACGAACTACAATCGACATATCATCACTTATCAGTGTAGGTGACACTTCTGGTACAAAATAGTCATCGGGAGTAGAGGAGGGGTAGTTTGGCATTGTCGTCGTGTCTACCTGAGAAAAGTGGCAATGTTGTGAATAAACGAGGAGCTTTGGAACCTGTGATTGAGGTGTTTCGGTGGGAAGGACAATAGTATCTAGAATGAGAATAATACCATGGTTATCAACCGGAGGATCCTATGAGACTGGGATGGTGAAATTAGAAGCAATAAGTTCTATGAAAAGAATGGTAAGGTTCTCATCTTCATTGAGACTCTCCCCCAAAAATAGGGTTTGGACTTAAAAAAATATGACATCGCGGGAAACAAACTTGCGAAGTAAGGTTGGAGAATAATACTTGTATCCTTTTTGTGTGGGTAAATAGTCTCAAAAAACACATATATGAGCCCAAGGGTCCAATTTAGACTGTTCAAGTTTGTGGCAATGGACAAAGGCCTTGCAATCGAAAAAATTTACTTGAAGTGTAGGGACACGAAACAATGGAAAGGCTTTTTGTAGGTCATTGAGAGGTGTTTGAAGATTGAGGACTTTGGAAAGCATCCGGTTTATTAGGTAACATGCAGTGAAAACTGCCTCCCCACAAATATTTCGGGACATTTATTGTAAACATTGAAGCTCGTGCCACGGCCAATAAGTGATGGCTCAAAAACATCATTTTATTGTGGTGTGTCGAGGCACGAACTGTGATGTATAATTCTACGATCGGAGAGATATGAACCTAAAACAGAGTTGAAGTACTCTCGGTCATTGTTAGTATGAAGTGTGTGTATAGTGGAGTTAAATATAATAATCATCATATTGAGAATCGTAGTAATTTCAGGACTAAGGATTTAGTGACATAACTGATGAAGATTAATATATAACATTGATCCATGTATTAATCTCAAAATGAGTCGATCCAATATTTATTATTGAGTAATATATAAATTTGATTTAATTCTTATTCACGTATTCATCTCACAAATATTTATCAAATTTCATACTAATTTTTTTATTATCGTTCTCACAATAATAATCGGATAGGAATATTTAGAATAATTATTATTCAAGAAAAAAAGCATGCAAATGATAATAATAAAATCTAATAATCAAAATAACATGTCTATACAATAGGCCTAGAGCACTAATGCTAACAATGAACCATCTAAATCCGGTGATATTTTTAACTAAGCTAGCGCAAGATCATTGTACATTAAGGAGAAAGGTTAGGATTGGGCATGGTTTCAAAGGATATGGAACACGAGTATATTTTGATAATTGACAAATCTTACACTTAAAGAAATTGGCATTTTTTTAACGAAATAACTAAGGAAACAAATATTTTTAAATACAAGAAATTTGGATGTCTGAACCTACGATGCTACAACATGACGGTATCCTTATTTGAAACGAAAAAAATTGATCCTAAGTGTGAGTTGTCTCATTTTATTCACCAGGTTACGGTTATCCCATATATAAGGTCTATAGACTACCTTAGCAGTGCCAATCATCCTCCTTGATTTCTGTTCCTGTATAACGCAAGCAAGGACAGAAAATTTAGCAAGAACTTTGTTATCTTTTGTGAGCTTACTAGTAGAAAGTAAGTTGCATGATAATTTAGGGACATGAATAACTTTATTAAGTGTAAAATTGGTGAGGTGAACAACTTCGATTTCAATAATTGGAGAATGAGAGTCATCTGCTATTCGGACCAGTGATTGGTTGTGTCAGAGGGGATGAGTTACCTGTCATATGGTCGAAGGCGCTAGTATCGAGAATCTAGGAGGAAGGATCATTAGGTTCAGAAGTAGTATTAGGGACCTTGAACAGCCAATGATTCATGTGTGGTTGGTGTAACAAGCATCCGATGGAGAGCTTCGAGTTTTGTTTTGGTTAGACGAACGTTCAATACAACATCTGTGGAGCAAAGAATCTGCCTCTGCAGGAAATGAATGTCGACAAAGCGGAACCTGGGAAAGGGAAGAAGTATGAATCATCACCGGCTGAACAGTCATCTCAAAACCAAAAGTTAGACCACTCAACAAATGACAGCAAGTCTACGAGTGCAGCAGAGACAGTTTCACACAAGCGCGATACTTCAAGTAATTCCAAGAAGTCACCTACGAAGGGCGAGGTATGTTTTATTATATTTTAACGCGACACCATTAATTATATGAAGTTGTAATGCAGTTTTCTGAAATTTTGAACCCATCACCATCAAAAGTTTCTGGTTCAACATCAATTATGCTTATTTCAATGCATGGTTGGTAATAAACAATATCATTTTTAGTTTTTATGTAAAAGCTAGTACAGTTGTTCAAAGTCAAATCCTTAACTTCAGCTCTTACAAAACTGACAAATGGATTCAACAACTTTATGAAGGAACTCCGAAGCCAGACTGCAAATGAAACGACTGTCATGGAGAAAGGCCGTGTTTCAAGTCAAGCAGCCCCAAACTTATCGGATAAAGGAAAAGGAAAAGAATTGACCAAAACTGTTAAAAATCCAGAAAGAAGCAAAGGAGCAGAACCAACCAAAACTGTTAAAAATCCAGACAAAGGCAGAGGAGCAGAAACTCCAACCAAAACTACTAAAAATCCAGACAAAGGCAAAGGAGCAGAACCTCCTAAGAAATCTGTTAAAAATCCAGAAAAAGGAAGAGGACCAGACATGAGCCAATAACTCTAGAGTCCAGGCAATAAAACCCATATTCGAGAACGGGGATGATCTGAAGGCCAATGGCGTCCTACAAATTGAAAGCAAGGGATTGGTCAATCTCTTGCTAGTCGAATTATTTAATGAACTGTATAGGACCTGCTGATCAGGCTGATGATGGTGCTTTAGAACATGAGGAAAGTATGCCAGAGAGGGGGCGATATTGTTGGTGGGAGGCTGATTGGTGATGCCCCATATTAAGAGCAAGAGGAGATGCTGCTAACACTTTAATCCAAGATGTACATATGCATATATCAACAAGCATGTCGTAGATGTAATAAGCTCAATAACTTGAAATCTTGGTGACCGATTTTTGTTGTCAGAAAAACCAAGCAATGATTGCAAATAGCAATTACGTTCTTTGCATGGGTGAATGCGACTTCTAGTTTTTTTTCTTGGTCTATATTGGTTGATATAAGCCTTATGGAGGTATTGAATCAGAATCAATGAAGCCAACCTTTAGTTATAGATATACTTGAATTTATTAGATCAGCATCTGTTGATATTATCCAAAAAACAACAGAACGTGGATTGGCCAATATTATTAGGGGGAAATCAGCTCATCTGTAAATTAAACCAAAATATTTCTTAACTATTGATAAAGCAAACATATCATGCGAACGTAATTGTTAAAACCTAAGCTCTTTAGAGAGTAACATTTTTTTATCGTTGAAACTACTCAATGGGATATTTAATTTGCAAACGAAGAATGTATATGTCATGACGAAAGCAGAGACTGATTGGACTTCAATTATAAAATCAAAAGAGTAGACTAAATTCTTACGATTAGAAGTAAAGGGATTAAATTTGAAATGTGTAAAGCATACGGGGGCTTGAAGAATAGTTAGACCAAATCTTAATGATATTATTACATAATCACCAAAACAACAGGGCTTTTTTGTCCTGTATATTGAACTTCAAAACTATTTTTTTCCGTTACAAAAAGCTAGAAACTTAGCCTAAACGACAAGAAGGCAAACAAAGAGAGACAGTAAATGAAACTAGTTACAAATTTCACAAGCAATTCCCAAGCGAGAATTGGCGACATCAAACAGAATCCTATGGTTTTGCTGCTGCAAATTAGCTATTACGTTCATGGCGGCGTTCACGTTATTTGGAACCGGTGCTATTGCCAAGCAAGCACGTGACCCTGCACTAGTATGTAATAACGTGTTCTCCATTGGCAGTTTCACGGACAAGCCTTCGAAATGTAATGTTATTAATGGGGCCTCAACTTCCGCTGATGCGTCAAAGCATGTCTCGAATACTCCTATTGTTGTAAGTGGGCCCTTCACTTGCTTCACAAACTCATTACGGATTGCTTCGTAAAGGGGTTGGACGAATCGGGTTACAACAGTACCCGAGTCGATTATCGTCCCCACCCCGGTATTCGGGTTGAATGCTAGGTATTCTGTTGCGACGGGGACCTGAATACACTAACCCCGGTTAGGTTAACATAGTAAAGTGAGGGTCGATGCGGGTTTTTCAATAGCGGGACGGTTTGAATATTATCGGGCTGACCCACAGGTCCAAGTTTGAGAGAACCCGAAAAGTAATGTGACTTGAAACTGGGTAAACAATACGAAAACACACCCCCAGTAGGTAGAGTGCCCCGGATTGCGAAAGTAGTGACAAGGGTCCCCGGCCCAAACCCAATAGCCCTTGGCGTGGGACAGATTTACCAGTGATAGTATTAATACATCCGAAAGCAAAATTCGGGACAACATCATTGCTTAATGTTAAGGAATCTTGAGCCAAGTTGGCAGAGAAAAAAGAATCTCAGCCGTAGGATTGGTTAAAAGAGCAAGCAGCATCCCCGGTAGCCGGGCACGAGAGCCCATGGACCTGAGTGCATTGGGGCAAGGAGCAACCTAACAAGCCATAACTCGAAGAAGCATTGGGTGAGAAAGTGGTGGCCAAGCAACCGGTGCAGCCGGAGCATGGGGCCCAAGCAACATCATTACTAGTGTCGAGCACCGTGAACATGGTCTGACCCGGGGTGCCAATCTTGACCTTAACCACATAGTTGCCGATGCTTAGGACTTGTTGACCCGAAGCAATTGGAACCGCAGTGGTCTTTTGGGCCACAAGGCTGGACAAGTACTTGAGCCTTGCCGAATCTTTTGAGGCCCGGTCGATGATCGTGTTGACCCATGACTCGGGTTTCGGTGGGTTGAACGGTGAGCATCTGCCATAGATTGGAATTACCGAGAGGTCCGAGTTGTCTGGCTGAGAACCACATAGGTCTAAAGCCTTGGTGGACGAAATGAGGAGCGCAAAGAACAAGAGTGTTGCAGTGAAGTCCATGCTTTTAGTGCTAGGAGCCTAGGACTTCAGCTTGGAGTTAAAAGGGAGAGAGTGCATTAGAAAAGAGTACCCGAAGAGGATTTTATACAAGCAATTTAATGAATTAGAATTACTGAAATAGCCTCGTTGTTATGATAGATGAAAATGCTTGGCCAGCATTTTTGGGATCTGATAAAATAGTAAAAAAAATACCCTAGTTGGGATGAAAGTGGACCAATAAGAACGCAGGAAATTGGCCGCACAATTTCTGTCCCTATGCGCAATAAAAGACCCCAAATTGCAGGGGAAAGAGAAGCAAAATGACAAGCTTTCAATGTACTTTAAGCAATGTCCCTGTCCGGTAAGACTCTACCCCTCAATCACATTGCCCTATCTTTTACACTAAAACTTCAGTCCTACCAAATTAAATTGAGCCAATAACAAGCAACCCATGACTTAGACTGGACAATGCAAGACGTGGGATATTCTTCATCACGCTCCACAGGATTTATGTCATGCCAGCCCCCTTTTGATGCATCTCTACTCAACAAGACCTCCAAATACAAGAGTAGTTTTCATAACTATGATACTATAATCTACTCTAGCCTAATGATTCAGATCTTAAGATAACAAAATCGTAAAAAATTACATGTAAGGGTTCTGGGAGAGAATAATAATGACTTTCATGATATAATATAAGTGGATGAGTTAGTTAAGCTCGTGAATCTCTGCTGGAAGGGGTTCTTTCTCTACGTAAGTTTGCACGAGGATGGGGTCAATCCCGAGTCACGGTTCACAGGACTACAAAGACTTTTTTTTTTTCGAACTGAACCGGGACCCACCGCTTGTAATATATATATTAAATAAAAAAATGAATGAAAATCTCGATCTGCATATTCCAGGGGAGCTGACTGGATCTAGATTTTGGCAGCATCTTATCCTATACTCCGTGTATTTTTATTTGGATTGGCTACAGATTTGATTCATTATTTTACTTCATTTCGTAGATTTACAAGAGTCCACAAAAAAAGGCTTTGATTTTTTTTTCACTTTTAGGACTCACTCCTCGATACCCCACACCAGGCACCAGCAAGCTCACGAGGTTTTACTGTTCAGAACATTACTAGCTGTCGACTAAAGAAGAAGACAGAAAATGGCACCTTTAATTATCAGATATTCAGAATGAAGTACGAGTGGTAAACTTTGCCAGTCGGACAATTCAAAAAGGAACCATTCCATGGACCAAACAAGGACGTGTCTGGCTTGGTTTTGGGCGCGAAAAATAGGCTCAATCTTTGTGTTGGACCAAACATCCGATGAGAACTGATTTCAACCCGTTTGGGCCCATTGGTATTTATATATGATCCCTATGCTATCATTAATCCAACACTTTCTCTTTTTTTTTCCTTCCTGAAATAAGCCCATCACAAGTAAATCCTAATTCCTAAATACCATCCTTTAATCTAAAATTTAATACCAAACCGGAAAAAACAACATTGATTAAAGTAATGGAAACTTTTGTAGTAGTTAGTATTAACAAGTACTAGCTTGCGCATATAACTACCCTATCTGTATTATATAGTGGTAGAGAGGTATCTCGAATATTATTTATACGTACACATACAAATATAGATAGTATAACTTTTGGTACTGTACTAGATTTTGTTACCAACTATATACCATCCTTTATGAATTCCATGACAAGAACTAAAGTCAAAATGAGATCCACACTTTACAACATTGGATGTATCATTCTTCTAAGTTTTTTTCTTTTAATAAGAGATTTGGTTAAACACTTTGAATTTTATTTTTCAGTGGAGGGAATAATGGATTAAAATTTTCACCCTTCACCTACTTCTCTGGATATTAAATCCACAAGTAAAAGCTTTCAAAAACACATGTGAATCAACATTAATCTCAAGGTGTCGGTTTCCGTTGCTTAAAAGAAAGAAAACTGTATGGGGAGTTGAGGAAGAAAGTGTGCGTGTTTTGTCGTATATTACAACTCCACTTTGGAAAAAGCTACCATATTTGCAACAAGTAAATTCATAATATCCAAACACTAAGACGTAATGAGTTTGACGATAATTAAAAAGTCAAATCATTTCGGTTTCATTTGTCAACTCATGGGAAAGAACAAAGAAAATCATACCCAAAGTTATCCAAACATGGCCTATATTGTCTATACGTTGTTAAATTCAAATTATGTCCCCCAAGGACTAAAATGAAAGAAAAAGCAGATTTATGTGTTCATAATATTACCGTTTGATTAAGAAACAACAAAAAAAACAAGGCGATAAATGTGGGGATTCGTGTAGCTGATTCTGGCCGATATTGAAAGCAATCAATTGTCTGCCATCGAGAAGGCCACTCACTGCCAATCGCATGCATGCATGCACTCCGTCTTCATGAGAACTCCATAGCAAGTTGGAGCTGATTCAAAGCCACAGGGGACCACTTTCAGCAGCCCCAGCTTGTTAGCAATTTCAGAGACGTATTCATTGCCTTGTTTTATTAGTTCCTGTCCGGTGTTCATGCAATATTCATAGCTAATTTTGCACCTTTGATTTGTTTTTACTTTCAGAGAAAAAGAAAACGTTGAATATTCTGGAGATTAACTTTTTCACGCACTATTCAAAGCAGCAAGAGACAACGAATCATGCATGGGGTGAATTTGTCTATAGATATACATCTTTCTCATCCACTCTTGTCTGTTAAATATATCTTCTTTTCGGTTGAAAGGCAATGATAATACAACCTGTCTTCTTATATTATTATTTATACATATGGATTTGTTCAGAACTTGGAAAAGCCACACTGCTGCCAGCACTCGGCGTATATAAAGTACTATTTGAGCCATTTTGCCTACTGAAAATAGACAACCCTAATTAATAAAAGATTAACTTACACAAAAAATAGTTTCCTTGACTAATTTTTATGTCGTAAATGGAACAAGAACACAATAAGACAATCCGAATTTTACAATTCTTATTACACAGCAAAAGACCCGCCCGGCGGCATGCAAATTAAGTCAAATCTGAACAACCAACTCAAATGATAGAAAGCTCATGCGTTGAGTAAAGATAAATTTATATGAAAAATGTTTTCAACAAAACGAAAAGTTATAGTATTCTGATTCACTAAGAAAACTTGCATTACAATCATATCGGATGACCTCTCAGTCGTATTTACCGAAGAAGAAAATGAAGATCAGTGGGGTGATTTTTTTTCAATTATCAGTATCTTATATATTGATCGATTATTTCGAATCAAATTTTACAAAAACCTATTATAAGAACAATTCTACTAATTTAATTTACTTCATTCATAAACATTAATACTTAAATTTTTAACCTTAGTTAGAAAATCTATTATCTTGCCATGCAATGTAATGGGGGTACTTTAATGATACGCAAGAGTATGGTCAGAGAAAGTGGCGCCCCCTGTTATGGAAGATTTAGATTTTCCAATCGCAGACAGGAATTAGGATTGGTTGGCTCTTGGAAACTAATAATAAATTCAAATAAAACTTTAGACCAACGCCATTGGGCATTGAGCACCCACTTGGTAAAGACATCTGAAATTTCCAAGACATCCAAAATTTTTTCATCACGACATTCCATTTCATGTTTTCTTCTTCTTCTTCTTCTTCTTTCTTTAATTTGATTTATAAAGTTAGTCCACAAAATCCTAGGCAAACCTGAAGGAGTTGTTAATATATATAGGATCTGTTTAATCGGTGTTCATGTATATTAGTTAAAAATTATTTATTTATTACTCTACAGTATTTAATATATAATTTATAATTGATTTAGAAAGATTATTAATTACATCGCATGTTATTTTCTTTTTAATATTCTTCTAGTGCCACTGTCTATTAATGGCAAAACTTTTGAGATAATGTTCTCGAATTTTTTATTTAACGATATAACGTACTCCCAAGATTAATTGCTCAAATAGGGTGAAATTCACAGTGTTGGCCGTAGGTCGCCATGCCTTCCGGGTGACCTTCCAGGCATCCAAGGCCATCCGACCGAGGCCATCCGAAAGCATCCGAGGCCATCCGAGAGCATCCGAGGCCATCCGACCGAGGCCATCCGAACGAGCTATGCGAGGGCATCCGAGGGCAACCGAGCGAGCTATGCGAGGGAATCCGAGGGTAACCGAGCGAGGGTAGGTCGCCCGGAGTGCATGGCGACCTACAAGGTCGCCCGGAGTGCATAGGTCGCCATGCACTCCGGGCGACCTAGCCTCGCTCGGTTGCCCTCGCATATCTCGTTCGGATGGCCTCGGTCGGATGGCCTCGGATGCTCTCGGATGGCCTCGGATGCTTTCGGATGGCCTCGGTCGGATGGCCTCGGATGCCTGGAAGGTTGCCCGGAAGGCATGGCGACCTACGGCCAACACTGTGGATTTCACCCTATTTAAGCAATTAATCTTGGGAGTACGTTATATCATTAAATAAAAAATTCGAGAACATTATCTCGAAAGTTTTGCCGTATAACTATATATACTATTAATTGAAGTGCAATCCATGATGGACTATGTCAGCAACAGCAAGATAAGACCAGTTAACCGAAACAATCCCATTATTCGGAACTTTCTCAATAATTCAATTAGTTTGGATCGATTCAATTTATTTTTATTTATTGTAATTTGTAATTTATAAATTAAAATCAGGCTTTTGAGGAATATTAACAGTCTAAAAATAAATATTTATGATATATAAATATTTTAATATTTGATAAAAAAAAAGATAAATTATCATTTATCCCAAAAGAAATACAAAAAGAGACGACAGGTGAGGCAATGAATGTTTTATCTCCATGGAATATGACCACTCAGAGGCAAACACACTTGTCATTTAACTCATTCGGGTGAAAAAAGCGGTAAGGGCAGACCCAATATCCAGCAGCAGCAGCTCAAGAATCAAACATCTTATTTAATACACAGCATTGAGCAGTGGTAGGCAACCAGTTCTATCCCCCAACCCCAACCCCTAATCTTTGCTTTCACATTTGTCTTTCTTTTTTCCCATCACACCCCTCAGAAAGAAGATAACATAATAGAATAAGACAAATCAAAGTACAATATAAATATAAAAAAACAATACAAAATTACTAAAGTGGTGTAAAAAGAGCTTCCAAGATCATATTGGACGAAGCACACTCCAAATGCTTTAAATTCTTTTCAAACTGGCAGGCATAACCCTAACCATGTTTTCTTCTGCCACACGCTCTTTTCTAGAGGAAGAAGCCAAGTAAAAAGCAATGAATCGGATCATCTTTTAGCCAGCGGAGCTGCTGCTGCTGCAGAGTTTCAAACTTCAAAGCAATGCTCTGCTCAGCTTCTACCATCTTTTATCCACCAAGTATTTAAGAGAATCTGTCGGGCATCTAAAACATGTAATAACCACGACATTACGTAAAAGGTAGTGACTTCGTTTTTGAAGCTTCGTCAGGCTCGGATTGAATTTTTAAGATGTTTTAGTATTTTGTTCTAAATAAGGAAATAAGTTGATCAGTTCATAAGCAATGCCATAAGATTTTAAACAACGGTAGTTAATGAACAGAAGTACAAAAAGGTTGAATAAACTCAAACTGAAGAAAAAAAAATCTAAACCTGCTTAATTCACTGCACTCAAATATAATTTTATATATATAAAATAAAGCTGAAAAAAGCTAAATCTTTGAACTCATTAGTAAGGCGGTGGAGGCGGTGGGGGTCTCGCAGTTGGAGCCCAAATGACATCTGATCCACCCAAATGGCTATTATACATCGAAACCCCACAAGAATCTGCCCCACCACCGTGACTACTATCACCACCGCCACCAGACAACGGCGGCGACTGCCCACCTGCAACACCAGACGAGACCGTATTCCTCCCTTCTTCTTCCCCGGGTATGCGATGATACAAAGGGTTGTTGAACGTAGCAGCTACTATAAACACGTTGCCAGCTGCTACAAGGGGACCAGCTACGAAACCTCCAACGACCTGCCCTTGAGGACCGGCCAAAGATATGGATACCGTGTTGGGGACGTGGCACGACGTCGTTTGGGACAGGAATGTAGCCGAGAGGGACAAGATGTCGAATATGCCATGGAAAGTTATGGTGGCTGCTGGAGTGGCCGAAGAAGGTTGACGGAGAGTCACGTTAGAAACGGTCCCAGATCCCGTGAGCAGACAGATTCCAATGTTCTTGCGGCGAGAAAAACGGGAGACAGCTTCTACGATGTCGTTGCCCCCTGGGATTTCCAGAATGTAAGGACTCATTGCCGGGTCGGGCTCGTGAGTGATAACAACGGGTGGCTTGGGCTTGTTCTTGGAACCCGGAGGACGACCCCTCGGTCTACGCACGATTTCGATGCTTGCTCCATCACCACCACGAGCAGAGCCGCCGCCGCTGCCACCACTGAGGAGAGAAGGACTATGGGCGGTGGTGGTGGAAAGATCCTTGGGAGCATGGTTAGGGGTGTGGGTGGTGTCATCGGAGTCGGGCTTTTGAGAATCGCGAGAGAGTTGAAAGTGATAAGAGAAAGGATGAGTTTGGTGTTGAGGTTGCTGTTGTTGATGGTGGTGGTGGTGAAGCTTTGAGAACATGTTGATGGTGTTTCGATTCTGGGGTTCTACATATTCACCTTTCATGTCTGAAAATTAAAACTTTTTAAATTGTTTATCATAAAACAAACAAATTTGTCGATACATAAAATTCTAGTAATAAAATAAGATGAAAAATCTTTGTAGAAGAAGAGAACAAGAAAGGGATGGTAGAGGAGAAAGATAAAGGCGGTGAGCGTTGTGGAAGTTTGGATTTGTAAGAAGGGAGAAGTTTAAATAAACGGGAATGGGGAATGGGGAAAAGAGAGGTGGGAGAACTTCGAAACCAAGTAAAGACTAATGGCGCCGCTGGTTGGAGGTCAAGTAGGGTCCACATATCCACCATGAGAGATGAAGAAACTTTACAAAAATGGAAAATTCTTAGAGCAAGGCGCTTGTTTTGGATTCGCACCGCCTTTGGGCTTTTTGTAATTTCGAAAGTGACAGTAGAGAAACATCACAATTGATAAGATAAGATAAGATATGTATGCCATATTAGACTTAGTTTCACATTGAACTAAACTGGTAAGTGGTAACAATACATTTTAACATTTGTAATATACACATATAAGATGTCTTTGCATTCTTAGCAGACGTCAAAGTTATTGATGTCTTCCAAATTAAATTATTAAAATAATATATTATAATCTTTTTTATTTAAATGATATTTAAACAATTATAATAACACTCATTTTTGTCGTATAAAATAAAAACATGTTTACATGACAATGTCTTTAAAATGATCTTCATTAAGAAAAATGATATATCACATAGGTTGTTTCTCTAATATTGACGTAATTTAAATAAACCCAAATAGTTTGTCATGTAAACAAAGGCACTTCTTTAAAGAACTTTTCGAAATGCATGACAGTTATCTTATTTGGTAAAAATAATTGTCATCCTATTTACATGTCATTTTAAGAATTAATTTTTTTAATGTTATTTTAATTAAAAATATTATAATTTTAATGATTTAACTTGTTTCTTCTTATTTTTCGACTTAAATCCATATAATATTTATATTCATTAATCTCGTTTTTATTTATTTTATTCTTAAATAATATTAATGTAATAAAAATATTCACAAAAATCTATCGTATTAATAAAAACGCATATTATAAAATGTATTTTTCTAAATATGTTCACATAACACATTTTATAAAAAAAAGTATTATTTAAGTTAATAATATCATTTGAATATTATTTTAATAAAAATATATTTAGTTTCATAATAATGCCTCTCAAATTTTAAATAAATATAATGATTTAAATATGATTAATAAACTAAAATTAATATGTTTATAAATATATAATAAGAAAATAAAGAAAATGGAAACAAAAAAGATGAAATTATTTGTTCAAATTACTCCGAAAATTAAATCATAGATATTAATTACTGTTAAATAAATATTTTTCCAAATTATAAATTAAACAATCCCTTATAATTGGCTAATGAGAATTTTTTTTAGTTTTGAATTCTAACTATAAATTAAATGGAAGTACGGAACTTAATTCGAATATAACAGAGATATATAAATTGATAAAAGAATCAACTGGAAGAGTAGGGCTTGGATCCTTCCGACCGAGATTTGATTGTCAACGACTCTTAATGTCTGTTGGGTGGGATGGCTGCCCTAAAAGCTTTTAGGAATCCAGTCCTTAAATTTTAGGAGCAGTTTGATTCAGGGCATACAATATTATCGGAGAATAAAATTCTCATTTTTTCGTTTATATGGCCGGTAATTTTATTTTTTTGGGTATATTATTGCGAATGTGATTATTCCTTCTCTTAGGTATTGTTGGATTACCGGCGTTTTGGACTAAAATACCCTTAAAAATTTTCTTCAAAATTATCCATCTTCTATCGTTGAATAATAAAAATCCTACGAAGGTTAAATTACAAATTTATCTTTAAACTATTTTAGATTTACAAAAAAAATCCATAATTATAATTTTATATGAAGTTTAGGGGTTAAAATAAAATTTTACCCTTTCATTAAACCTATTTATCTTTTGAATTTTGTAAAAAATATATATAAATTTTATGAATTTAAAATTTTTACAGAAAAATATATAAATTAATTATAGTAATAATATAGTAGAATTCAACTTGTTAAAAAAAACAAATATGTAATAAGAACAATTTGGTAAAATATACATTCTAATAATATTTTATTCCTTTAACCAAATACGGTAATCTTACATTCATACTAAATCAACCAAACACAAAATACAACATTCTCAGTAATCCTATTCCCTGGTAATTTTTTATTCCCACTGGTAATCTTACATTCCGTGAACGAAACGCACCCTTATAGTATATCTTCCCCTTGAGAAGTTCATCTTCGGTTTTATCATAAAACTAAATTTATAAAATTTTAGGAAAATATTTTTTTTAAATAAAAAATAAAAATATATAATTAATAAAAAATTATAAAATGATTTAGAATATATAAAAATTTAAAAATTTTAAATAAATGATTGTCCCTATCTGTTTCTTCAATTCATTTTTAGTTTTATTCAAACTATATTAAAAAAAATGATACGAGAGAGTAGGTTGAGTATACATACAGTATATTTTATTTATTGTATTAAATTTGTTCAATCTGAGGTTATTTCTTAACAGTTAACTTCACTTTAATGTGTATGCTAGAAACGGAAGCCAACTATAAGCCCAGTTTGAACTTGAAGTGGTAGATTTCAAAAAATAAACTTCTAAAATGAACCTTTATTCGTCGACACCAGAAAGCGTGAACCATCAAACTATAGACCAACCTCATTATTTTTGAGTATATCATGCAAAGATGTCTTGGCAAGTATACTTAGATCTTTAGTACACGTAACATTTGATCGCCTTGTGCGAACTATCTTTTGGAAATTCCTTATAAGTAAGAAAAGACGTATGATTTTATGTTAGGGAGTGTGATCTTTTAAAAAAGTTATTTTAAAAATTGATAGTATATGAAATTAAAAAAAAATAAGTCTCTAAGTTAGATTATCAATATAAAATATGAAAGATATTTAAATTATATGAGAATTTAAAATTTTTAAGAGATAAGATTATTCTTCAATATCTATCTATTCATCACTACATAAAATATAACATATTTTATAACCTAGGCATGCATAATTTAATACTTGGGAATGGTAAAATCTAAACAGTGCAATTAATTTACTTAATATTGTCAACAATCTTTAGAACAATCGGTTAAAATATCTCAATTAACACCATCTTTCCTAGATTTTGAGTTCATTATTCATTAGGATGAGCAAAATTCTCTTTCTCTAAGTAAAAATTGTTCCAGAAAAATACTTACTATTGAATATAAAATTTGAATTTGACGTCTGTAAACTTATATTCTATAGATTTCAAAATTGATGGCTCGTTGAAAAAAATGGTAATTTCCATTATAGAAAGAAAAAGGACGAAAATGCTTAGTATGAGCATAATAGATACAATGAATCAGACAAGGAACAGGAGAATGTAGGTGGCAATGGGACACATTGTTGAACGATAAGGATCGCATACCAAGTTCAAGCTGATTGTCAAATAATCTATTTGAAACTTAGCCCTTTTATCAGCAACGTAGTTAAAATTAAATATTGAAAAGAGCTGAAATATTATATTATTTAAGAAAATATAAAGATTTATTAGGTACTTAAACTCGAAATTCAGCATGAACAAGCGATCTTGTTTTTTTTACCAACTTAAGATGATTGTTGTTATCCTTTAGGTCCCGAGTTTAAGCGCTACGTATGTACGGGTATGCGCGTTCATTTTCAAATAGTTTAAAGTCTTTATACATATATTACCTTATATTCACCTTAAATTTATAATAAAAAAACTCAAAATTCACAAGACAACTTCTAATTTGTCTAATATTTTAATTTACAATAACCTAAATTGTAATCAAACTAAAAATTTGAGAACACATATTTATCATTCTTTAGTTCGACCACTACTTAATTAAATATTTAATATTTTTTTAATATTTTTTTAAATTTAAATATTTATTTTTACATAAATTAAAATACTAATAAACTAAAATTATATCAAATATAAAAATTTTAACAGAGGCCGAAACCCTTAGACACTAACTCACTAAGGGAGCTCCGTCCCTGCTTTTATGGATAAGGCAATGCATCAATAATGCAGCACTAGCACCCACGTATATTGCATGGCAATCCCATAATTTGACATGTTAGCCCGACAGTTATACCTAGGGAGGAATGTATAATTTTATATTAAGGGGTCAGCTTCAAAAATTTTAGAAGAATATTGTTTTCTTAGGGGTTCTGGATTCGAGCATCTGCACATGTAAAATGCGTGTGCGAGTTATCAACTAGTTAAAAAAATTATAACATATATTATCTTGTAATTGTCTCGATCTATTTAAAAAACTTTGAGGAGTTAAACTTATAAAATCTAGGGGACTTGAGGACAGACGTAAGATTTTATGTTAGGAGTGAACTTCTAAAATTTTAAAGGACAAAATCATATTATCAATACAAAATATAAAAAAAATATAAAATATTTAATAATTTAAAATTTTCATGGACGACTTCTTCCGTCCACTCCTCCCTCCATCCATCTATGGTTTTACCTACCATCCCCAACTCTTCTTAGTTTATTTAATTTAGAATTCTACTAACATTTATCTTCCAAATATTATTTTAAATTATTCAATATACTATTTATGATTATAATAATATTTTATATTAAATGTAATAGTTGACAGTTTCATTTATAATGATTGGTTGAACAATCAGATCATTAGTATTCTTGTATTCTTGTTCGAGTGTTGATAATTATTTAAGTTCCAACGCTTATTACATATTCAGAAGGTTTAATAAAAAAAGCCATTAACGTCATTAAATGAGAGAGAATAAAAAATATTTTTACGATTAAAATATAAAAAATATTAAATTAATAATTAATGATGTAATTTATCCATTAAAATGATAGATAAGTTTTAAAATTAGAGTAAAAAAATATTGAAAGATGATATAAATTATACTTTTTTGGAGTTCAAAAGAAAAATTACTTTTTTTATGGAAAGAAAATTCAGTTGAATTATTAATTTTTGAGCGATTAAATTATAAATTTTATTTGATGAA